TATATGGAAGACGATGTTCCAGACATCTTTTGTCAAATTGGGCGATTGGGTGGGAAATTGAAAGAGGTTTGGTGGTCGAGTGATGAAGACGTCCATAGTGCACACCTTTATATTCTTCTTAATTGCGAGCATCCATTGCTTGCTTATTTTGAAAGGTAAATATATAAACATACACACTTATATATATATATATATATATTTGAATATTAAATATATAACATAACATATATGATTTTACAGTCAATTTGAGACTCAAGTCGAGGAAGCAATACCTGGTATATCGACAACTGAGTTAGAGAAAAGGAAAGATCAACAATTTATCAAGTGGTTGAGGAAACATGTATTTATTTATTACTTAAATTGTATGCATACATTACCACAAATTAAGTAAGTCTAATGTATTTTATTTTTTGTTGCAGGTTGATTATGACGATCCTAAGTATCCCGCATTGTTTCGCGAATTACTTCAAGGTCCAGTTGCAAAGGTCACTACATCGGCGATGTATTTCACCCGAGGCTATACTTTCCATACCTACGACAATGGTAGCCACCGGGCGACAAGTAATTATGGAATATGTGTGAAAGGCAAAACAGATTTCTACGGGATCTTGCAGGAGATTTATGAAGTTCAATTCCCGGGAATGGGTTTGAAATGCGTTATCTTCAAGTGTGATTGGTATGACCCCGTCGTAAACAGAGGTGTTCGGATTAACAAGAACGGTGTAGTTGATGTCAACAGTGGACGAAGGTACACCTAATTCTTTTTTTTTAATATCAAGGTTTTCAATATTACTTAATTTTAACGTATTGATCTTTATTTTCGTAGGTACAACAAGTTCGAGCATTTCATATTAGCTTCCCAAGAAGATCAAGTTTGCTTCATTCCATACCCTTGGATTACTACCTCGGGAATAAACTGGTTAGCTGTTATCAAAGTTACACCTCGAGGAAGAATAATCGCTGGAGAAGAACCACCATTACAAGAAGAAAACACCAATGAGATCGAGGAAGCTGAATCAGAAATTGATGACATCCTACTCATTGATCCGCATAATCGTCAATACGAAGATGTTCCTGATCACTCAACGGACGAAGGTGTAGACGACGAGTTTTTAGAAAATGATGATGTTTCAAGTGATTACGACAATGTATCCGAATGAATTATGTATGTGTTATAAGTTTGTTTAATCAACAAATCAATTTGGATTATATATATGTTTTAATTTTGTTTAATCACAAAATCAATTAGCATTTGAGGTTTGAGGTTTATGTGTAGAAGAGGTTAGGAGTTTGGTTGTAGAAGAGGTTATAAGTTAAGGAAGTTGTGGTTTGGGGTTTGGGGTTTCGAGTTTAGGGATTTATAAACTCTTTCCTCGTAAAGCCCTAGTAATAGAAAACACGGGCATATCAATTTCCTCGTAATGTTCTAGTAAGGCCTTACTAGGGCTTTAGGAGGAAAAAAACGCGGGCATAGCTGTTTCCTCGTAAAGGGTTTTCCTCGTAAAGCCCTAGTAGAGCCATTACGAGGACCTTACGAGGAAATAAAAACACGGGCATAGCTATTTCCTCGTAAGGTCCTAGTAATGTTACTAGGGCTTTACGAGGAAACAAAATTCTTTATATATACGCGAGCAATCCGGTTTCTCATTTGCTAGTAACCTTCTCTCTAAGTCCTCTAAAGGTTCTCTCTAATCCGTAGTTAGGTGATTAGATTAGGG